ATTTCATGTCTTTATTCAATTTATTCATTGGCATCCATCAAATGAATTACACTAATGGAGTTTTTTGTATGTATTGATATTGATTTGGTAGTAATATTAAAGACTCGGCTCAAGATCAAACAATACATTCATGTATATTCTAAAATAATATCCAATTGAGCAATTCAACATCATCTTTAAAGATTATTAGCTTTGTATCTTAAGCAATTATATCTTTTTTTTATTTATGATTATTTCAATCAACTCTTTTAAGATGTCACCCTTATTGATGATCAAGATTTGAGGTGCTAAAATTCTATTGTTTTATTGATTGCCGGTATCATATTGCTTGGTTTTCTATTTGGAAATACACTGGGTACCTAGTTGTAGAGAGTTTAGTTTTAACTTATTGGCCAAGCTTCAATAAGTTATTTAACCTTAAAATTAGAAGACAAATAAATACTACAATATCAAAAAGATATTGTACTAATAAACATTTTTATATTTAAGAAGGTTTGTACATAAGACTTTCTAAAATATCTAAAAAAATTCTAACATTCTTGGCTATACCAAATCATAATTAATCATTTGCTGGTAGATTAGGTTTTCAATAACTTCAAAGGAAATCCACAATCTCCTCTCAAAAACTCATCTTTATATAAGAATTCAACCATAGCTCCATATATCCATATTCAACATATATATAAAGTCTTGGCTCCCAAAATACTCCTTTACTTTGTATAAAATGCTCAAGTTATAATAAAATCGCTTCAAAATATAATATTTCCTCAAAGGATTTCTTCTTCTCAAACTTTAGAAATTCATATTCCTTGATCCAACCGTTCAAATTTTTCTAAATTCATAGGTATTATAGAATTTATCCTTAAGCTTTACTTTACAAAAATTTAACTATAAATTTGCTACCGATCGTCTGGCATCTTAAATACCCTAGCAGGTGTTCTAAAACCCTAATTCACAAGCACCTAAGTACCATTTTCTTTATATCTCACAAACCCAAAATTCAAATGTTACAAAACTTATTTATAAAGTTTAGCAACATAAAGATACACATCCTTGGAAATTCTTAGCCAAAATCTTGTCAAATTACATAAGATATAGTTCAAAACACAACTACTAGCAATTCAGGTCACTTACAACCCTTAGATTTGTAAGCACTGACTTCAACCTCCAATATCTCCTTCATTAAAACTTAAAATCCATCAAAAAGTATGCCAAAAGTATAGCCGAGAGAGTGCTCTTTTCAATCCTAGTCGCCGATCCTCTGTTGCTTTCTGTACACATGTGTTATATCCAAAATATTGATAGTAAGTACAAAATCAACACCCTAACTTTGAGCATCCATATCTCTTTCATATAAACTCCAAATGACTCAAAATGTGCACCAAAACCATAGCCAAAAACCTAAAATTGCTGATCCTAGCCTCCAAAGCTCAAATTTCTCCAAAAAACTAACCCTAATCTCTAATATGGCCTCGGGCAGCCTCCTCAAAGTCCATTGGTCATGATTTTTGACCAATAGAAATGGAGGTTTTCATCATCCATCTCCATTCATCTATATGGATGCCTTAAACTCTCTTTTTGCTACCAAAATCCCTCTCCAATTCTTTTCTTTACAAGTTTTACATAACATATGTCTTAAACACCAAATTAAAGAACCAAAATAAGACTTCAAGGGACACCAATGTCTAATAAAGGTGCCTCTAAATATTTAAAGTTACTACCAACAAAATCAATCTCAAAAGCCACTATCAAAAGAAAATAAATTCATACAAATTTTAATAGTAATCTTTTTAAAAAAACCTCCTTTTAAAGTAGTAATTTAACCACACTCTACAATCAACCAAAATCCAGTAATATGGCTCTCACCATGTTATCAAGTAAATTGTATATTAAATACATAATCACATTATTTTCACATGGTAGCCGAACCACAATACAACACTGAATGACCTTCTCAAGGTCATTCATGTATTGGAATAGGTTAGAATTTTGATGATCTTTAATTTAGTTTATTTATAGATTTAATATGCCTTATACAATAGTAGTTTAAATATTAATCTACATCACTTAGGTATATTTTCAAGAATATGTGTCCATTAGGTGATACTCAAACAAGGTTTTGGAATTAGATCAATATGTTTATCAAATCTTTGGTCTTTCAACCTCTATAGATGTTGGGACTTGGACTCTTATGCCTATTAATTCTATTAGATTTGGACCAATATGGCTTTTCTTATATACTTATAATAATACTTTTTACAATCAAATGACTTCTTGAAAGTAAGGTTGATAATATTTTAAATGATCATTGGATTCTTTTATAATTAAGCTTAATGAGCCTCATCTTACCTTAATCAATAAAAATGAGGTATATTATAATATATATTTTATATTTATAATATATCTAAGCTTATTTTTATTTTAGACATATAGCCTTGATGTGGTATTATAGACATATATATTTTCTAAGATTCAATTAATTAGATAGAAATAAATAGAAGTAAGTATATCTTGTGGAGAAGCTTTTTAAAAGCTTTATAAATACAAATTTAACTTTATACATATTTATATGTAATTAGTAGGTTAAAAAATTAGCCAATAATTTGGCCATATATTCCATATAATAATAACATATGATAAAAGGTTATTTGTGTAGTGCATATATAAAAAAAAAAAACTTGCCTTGCAAGTTAGGCATGTATTAATAATCTTTTAGAATATTGCTTCATAACTTTTAATTATATAGTATATGTGAAGACAAGAATGAGATCTTCCTAATTCTTATCAATTTCTTTTTTATTCATATTCTTATTTCAAAAATCTTTGGTATTTTTGTCTTTGACAATAATTATTCTAATTTTAATATTTTACTATCTATATGTAATTGCCTATTCTCTTCTAGATATTAAAAGCTTATATTGATATTTTTTATTTATAATTTATATCTTTAATAGTTTGATAAGTGCACTAATTCATTATTTTTATTTTATTTTGAAATAAATATATGATTCTACTTTTTGTTGAATTTTAAAGATTATAGACTATTTTTTTTAAACTAATATTTTTATTTTTTAATATTGATTCTTTTCTTAAAAAGACTAAATTTTTTTTTTTGAAAAAAAATTCATTTAATATTAAAAAGTATATATTATCTTTCTTTAATTTGAATTAATAATTTATTAAAGTCATTTGTATTAAGAATGGAAGAAAAAATTATGGATGTTATATTTGGCAGAAGTAAAATTAGATTTGTAACTATTATAGTTCTTTGTAAGCTTGTTAATATTCTTAGAATAAAAATCTCATGTATTACCAATATCAACCATAGAGGTATTATTCCTACATATATGGAAGAAGTCAACAATGAGGTCTAATATCTATGCCAAGAAGTTATGTAGTTGAAAGAAGTAAGTGGATCAATCTCACAATTGAATCCAAAACTCTTGCTACCACAAGTATAAACAAAGCAAGAAATAGTATGCCTGAAAAGTTTGATGGAACAAGATCAAAATTTTAAAGATTTTTACAACAAATCAAGTTCTATCTAAGGTTACATCCTTTCCAATATTATGATGGATTTACTCAAGTTGGATTTATATACACATTCTTATTTCAAATTATTATATCTTGGTTTGTACCTTCGATGGAAAAAAATTCACAACTTCTGTGTGACCTAAATTCATTCTTGGAAGTATTTAAAGCCACATTTAGAGAAAATAATTGAAAAAAGATAGTAGAAACAAAATTCTTATCTTTACAATAAGGATCACAACTAGCTACTATATATGTTGTTGAATTCTAAAACCTTATTTGCAATAAAAAAATTGGAATAATAAAGTCCTTATTAATCAATTTTCATATGCATTAAATAATAATAATAATAATAATAATAATAACCTATTTAACTTACTTATTATGCTAATATTATTTTTTATTTATTTTAAAAATATTTTCTAAAATTTTATTATTTATAATATTTTTATTCTATACTTATATATTTTTTAGAATTATTTTACATTCTTTGAAATTAATAACTACATAGATATTTTCTAGCAAACTATAATTACATGGCCTTCTATTTTACTTCAAAAATTGCATAGACAACAAAAAAACAAAAGATATAAATTTTCTTTAAAATTAAATATAAATAACAATAAAAGATCTAAGTTGTGATAAAAAAATTGCATGTTTAAAAATAATTTGTAGTTAAAAAGCTCTAAATCTTAAAGCAATTTTATTAAACAAAGGTCCAAATTATCTATTCCATTTCTTTGGATGTGGAGTCATAAAATAGAAAGATCCACAAATTACCAAAAATATTATATCTAACTATTTTGATCTATTCTTTAAGATAAAATAGAATTCCAAAGAATTTAATTGATCTATCTAATATATTATAGAAAAGTAAAATATTAAAAATGATAGAAATTTTTGTAGGATTATATCTTATTATGTAAAATATAAATTTCCATATACTTTGGAATCTACTATTTTTAAATATTTTTAAAGTAGTAATTACTTTAGAACAAAATTAATACAAAAGATATTTATAAATACATAAAATAATATAAATATATATTATAAGAACCTTAAGATCAAGAACAAGTATATACATTATATCTTTAAAATCACAAAGACCATCATTTATAACTTTTAGAAATATTATATAAATCATAGAATTTTAAATTAGAAAACCAATTTCTTTTACCAACTATGCTCTTATTAGCTAAGATAACAACCATGGCCTACTCTCTCCATATAAAAAATGTGATTTTTAACAAAGACATTAATTAAATATTCATTACAAAATTTATGACATCAATGAAATATGGATTAGTGATAACATCTAAACATTGTTACTACTATCCACCCCCAGAATTTGTATCACTCACCCCTTCTTGGAGTCTTGGAGCCTTGACTTGAGTTTGTACAAGTAGATTGACACTCTTGTACTTCAGAAAAGAGAAGAAGAAACGCTTATTTTTAGGATTTCATCCGACCTATTGGCATGAACGTCCATATCCCGCAACTCTCCCTCTCGCAATTCAGTCTTTGAATTTGAATACGGTTGTTTTTAGGAGGTTGTCTCTGCCGCGGTCTGCTTCTTCTTCTTCAATTTTTGCAACAAGAGAACCATTCAATTACTCAGTGATCTCACTTGATCCGAGAATGAGTTTCAGAGCTTGACCATGTGGGTGCTCTTTCTTCTGCATCGTGTGGGGGATCTAATGAGCGCATTGCTTGAGGACATGGTTCGAAGTTACTTCTGCTTTGGGATTGCAGTGTCGTGAACATACTGTAGGATTCTTGGATCATTGAGGGGCGCTCATAATGTCGACTGGTAGCATTTAAAACCGGGTGGGAATCGAATTGGCTCACGGAATTTCACACCCAATCCAATCTTTGCATTACAGACATGACTAATTTTCTCGCAATTCATTGAGAGTTTCCTATGGGTATGATACATTTGCAGTGGAAAAAAATTTAGGCAGCGTTGAATTTGGAGTAGAGGGATAAGCGACAACCAACTATGGATGCGGCCGTTTTCAGCTTAAATTCGGTGAGATTTCGTTAGTTTTTATTTTATTTTCACCGCATTTTCCTAATTTCAAAGATGCGACGCTGCTAGACTCGAGTAGACTTCATGTTATTACAAAGGATTATCGTGCATGTTTTTTTGCACCATAATGCCGTGGTGTGCTAACCGATGATGCTAAACCATATTTTAATGAATTCGTAATGATCACATGCAGCACAAGCATTTGGTAATTGTTGTTCTAAACTATCGTTTAAGAGGCTCAGCTGAGAGTTATTGCTTGAGTAGTGGCTTAGCGTTCAGAGAAGAAGGCGAGTCCTTTTTATTTTAATTGCAAAATGTTTCACTTCGATGTCTTAAAGTTGGTTCTTATCTCTCTTCTTTTTCTTTTCTGTGGAGAATGCTAATCAGTAAGAACTGATTTTGAGCTCAACCTTGCACAGAAAGCAGCGCAGGTGAGGCACACGAACTCGGTGACCAGAGGATGAATTTAAGATTGAAGTGTGGTAGACTATTGAATGGTCAAGACGGGTGAGGAGGATGAGGATGAAGGTGGCACAATGGAATTTTCCACTGAATGTGATATGCTCATGGAGAGCAGCAAGAGAACGTTATGTCTGCACTTATTCAAGGTATGGGGGAGAAGTGAGGTATTTGGACTCTGGGGTTAGAGGCTTATATGCTCTAGATACGGACTGCTAATTGATTCCTAGGGTCGTTCGTGAAATGGCAAAGAAAAGAAGAGAATCTCTTCGCAATCACTGCAGGTTTGACATCTTTCTGTATTAAATGCGGTAATGGTCGAATCTTTAGAACCATTACCGCATGTAAGTTTGTATACAGTGCGTAAAAGATGATTCAAGGATGTTTTGGTATATGGATAGCTATGGTGTACACTGGTGCACATCTTAGTGGAAGAGATCCCAATTGACACTTCTCATGCATCTATGTCCAAGACTGAGTATCAAGTCAGTAAGGTCCTCCGACATTCTATCCACGAGTTGGATGGTCTTCTCTGAAAAACTGACGTTAAGTAATTGTCGTTATCAAACCTAATGTTCTCTTTCAGAGGCATGCTCAATATTTCATTTACTTATAAACTTGCACTAGTACTATCTCTACCCGACCAATGTCAGTTATATTATGTACTTAGACACGAGTTGGTCTGCGATTTGTACAGTTGTTTTCTTACGCTATTTTTAATATGAAAACGTGACTTGGATGACTATCACGTGGAGTTTAGAACAGAGAGGTGTCGGGACAGCAGCCAAGGTACCACGATCACCAAGTTGGCGAAACCACGTTCAAGATTATCCCGAAAGTTGAATTTCTCATGAATCTTCCTCATAAACTTGAAGGCTACAACACATTCGCTTTAGCAGGTACAACGGTCTCCAGTTACCGTGGGCTCGAGGAGAAATATTTGTAATTCAAGCCTAATTGCTATCATCATCTGATTGTTGAAGCTCTGATACCAACATTCTGGTCTTCACAGAACTCTTTGCATTCTCACACTAGGTCTGGAGTCATCAAATGTCTTGACAATGTATCTTCAAACCAAGGTGGACATTTTGCAGCAAACTGGCTTATGCAATTTATCTACCTTAATAGGATTTCCATGGCCCAGTTATTCTTCAGACTAACTGGCTTATCCTATATCAGCAGCTCCTTCGTCAGTCTCTGATCTTACCGAGCTGCTGATAGGATCTGGATGTGTGCTTTCCAAATCAAGCCAAGTTCAGTAGAGTGCAACATGATGCCGTCATTGCCATGGAGAGCCTTTGCTGGGAATCATCTACACCAAAACTTATCAATCGCAGAACTTGTTTTTCTTTTTCTTTTTTTTTTCCATATTTTTTTCTTTGTATTTTTCAATGATGCTTTCAATTCATTGAATTCCATATCCTATCTGCTGATGTGGGAGGTTCCAGGAAATGTTGTTACTAGACAGGTTTCATTCATGAACAACGAAGCTTTTGAAACTGTTGAAGCAAGAATCGTCTCTGCAAGAGAGTATGATAGCTATTAACGAAATGCAGTGCGAATACATCGACCCTTGATCCAGGTGGCAGAGGTAAGTGGACACTCACCGACTCTAATCACATGTAGAAAAGTTTCCCACTTAATTTCTAAAATTAGGTTGCGGACGTAATATTCATGCATGTCTATCCTACATGCAATCTTTCTGAATCGTATTTTTTCGACAACCACATTCTAGAATATTAGGCAAACAAACCACCATATGCTCCAACTTCAGCTCAAAACTCAATGTGACACGTGCTACGTATTGAGAAATACCAGGGTCCTCAGGCTGTGATATTATAGAGGTTTGATTGAGCAAACCACAGCTTTAAAATAGTATTTATTTATTTATTTCTGTGATTGCAATTTTCAGAGCAAAGATTATGATGATTGTAATAACCGTAATAATGGCAGTAGGAGCATATGAAAGAAAGAAATAGAGAGTGCTGTAACTACTTTTCATGATTTCTAGCTATCATCTGTATCATACTAACCCATTCCCTGGTTGAGAGGCATACACATATCAAGATAGATATATATTAGAAAGTTGAGGAAACACTAAAATTATATGCCAATTCTGTGTATGACTTGGTATGAACTCAGTTTTTAATAATTTTAGCACACTATGCTCTTTATTTAGAGCTAGAGACAAGTTAATTTGAACACTTCTTCTCCAGGCTCCCAAAAAGGTTAAAAAATCAAAAGTTAGAAATGTTTTATTTTGGCTCGTGCTTGGATAAGATCCTTATTGGACATGATGTTTCCTTTTTGTCCAATTGGATGATGGGATAGAGCAAAAGCAACCCTGCGAATTTGCTTCTGATGGGCCAAGAATCTTTGCTTTTCAGCATCCAAAAAGGCTTTTTCGCACCCAGACTGTTGTTATGTAATGTGGGCTGCATTGAGACTAAGCCTACGTGGCTGTGGGGGCCTTTCTCATGAGGAGATTGGCAAAAAGGTAGGGCTCCTTTACACACACATAATGTCTTCCCTTCATCTAAGCTTTCCATGAGACCCGAGTGAATGATATACATCCCAAAACCACATCCGTCTATGCACATTCTACATTGTACACAAGACATTTTTCCGTACAAAACTGTGATTGAGGCCCAAGCACAATTTCCATGTCTATCCATCTGGTAGTATCCTCCAAAGTGATGCACAAAGCACTTTGTCCTTCATTAGAAGAAACTCCTAAAAACAAAACCCACAAAAAAGACAACCTACATATATTTGCATGAATGAAAGAAAGAAAGAAAAAAAGGTTTGGTATTAATCACCTTGTTGAAGTGCCATGTAGTGGCATTAATGACTCATTGCCCAATCTGAGATCTATCCTTTGTACACCAGAGACCAATATTAGGGTTTCTTATATTTAGGATTGGATTAGGTATGGTTTTTAGGATTTGGGGGGGGGGGGGGCAATTTACTCCCTGATGCTGTCTGTGAGGCTCATCAGGTGGTGGTTGTGTGATAAACAACTTTAAGAGCTTTCATTGGAATCTGGAGTCTCTACAAATACAGAATGGGAGACATAGTTGAGACCCATACCACTGCCCAATCTCACTCCATGTGTTGAAACCCTAATTAAATTGAGCTTGTCCTCTTCCAGTGTACTTGTTGACTCTCCATCTCCATCAAAGAGAAACTTCAGCACTTGGTCTCACCTCCCCATTTTAAAAAAGAAGAATTGAAATAACTGTTACACTTCAAAGTTCTGATAAGTGAAACTATGAATCCATCTCACTTGATATGAACAGAATGTTATGCTTCACTTGCAAAGTATCTGAAAATGAGGATGAGATAAACAACTGGGTGCATGGGTAGATGAATGAGACAATGCAAGTGCTGCAGAATGTCAGGCTCATCTTCTCCACTACGCTGAGTCTTAAGGGAATAAACTTCACAATTATAAACCAATAATCAACTAAAGACATATAAAACTTGAGGTTAGACTTACACACCTTCCATCACCTTTACGAATCACCAACCAATGGGCGGGCTTAGAAACAAAGACCACCAAAAAGCAGCTCATCACTGCAGTATATTAAGAAATAAAGAAACATACGAAATGATGCTGGAGAGTAGGAAGAACACACAAGCACTAGACCACGTTAGTCATCACACAAATGCTTTCGCAAAACCTGGAACTTTTGTACCATTTTGATCAGCCCGGAAATTCCACAACAGAAGAAAAAGGATTTTTATTAATCAACGAAATCTAAATATATACTAGTTGGGTGATCCCATGAAGTAAATATAACGAAAGATACCGAGATAGAATAAGGTAAAATATGGTGACCCAAAAGGAAACAGTAGAGCTAAATTGACCAATGGGACAAGAGGACAGAAGAATGAAGCAGAGGATCACTGATGGATTCATTCCAGTGAACCCTGATTGGCTGTAGACATGTGAGGTCCAATATGAACATCGGCGTTTGGCCTGCACACTTGGACATAACTTCGTGGTATACAATGGGTCGACGTGGGCTCACAAGAGGGCCTGAAATGGGTGACCAGGATTGGTTAAGAGAAGGGGGGCTTCAATGACCAAGTGGGAAGGGGCAGAAACCAACTATTAAATAATTAGTAAAGGGAGTGAAAATATGGAGCCCCTGGATTTGTGTCTATCCTGACCGATGATGGAGGATTTTTTGGCTCGGCTCTCAAAAGTAGAGGCATGAGAAGCGCATTGCTAATAGGCTTTGTCGCCTAGTGAATGAACGTCCTACGAGAGTAACCCCGTGGACGACGTCGAGTGAAACGCATCCATTGCAGCAGAAACTGTGGATATGCTCAGAACAAGGCCATACGCATACGCCTGCAGTTTCTCGCATGAAGTAATGTAGGGTGCCTTGCTTTGAAGAAAGAATTGTCACCATGTTAACACTTTCCCAATGAGAAGCTCTCCTGGAATTGGATGGCGACTTGCACCACCTTATTCAGAGCATAGAGACAAGCCCAGGGTAAACCTTGGTGAGTCTCAATTGGTATTAGGATATCAATTGAGACTGAAGCTTCTGTGTGTTGTGTGTGAGTTTGATAATGGGTTCCAGTGTGGACTACCAAAGTGTCACCTTTTCGCGTGTATGTGGATGCAGTCATATTTAGTAATGTATAGGTTTGGCGAGAGAAGAGGTTCGGTTCCAAGCCTGGGTTTTCCTATTTTTGTACAGGCTCAATGATCACATGATGCATGAGAGTTATGCCAGCATTAAATTCGACTCAGTCTCCTCAGTCTGGGCATCTAAACTTAGTCAATTAATCACAAAATATCATCAACATCAACAAACCATATACAAAAATAAACACGTATGTACCCATTGGGAAAGTAGGATCTTTTGTTTTGAACTAGTGGGGTTTTGGTGTTGAATGTTTACCCGCTGATTAGTAAAAATCCTATCAAAGACAATGGATTTGTGATTACTCCCCGGAATGCAGAGTACATGAACCCATACACCCAAAGAACGAAAGTTACATGAAACGAACTTGGTCAGCTGTTTCAGTTACAGTACATTTTTGAAATGCAATTCGGGATTGTATTTGTATTCCAAACTCAATCGAGATTATTCTATTTCTTCTTCATTTAACAACGAGAGGAAACGAAGATGGAAAAATTGGAGAGACGTTGGAGAAGAAACTGATTCAGATGAGCATTTTTATTTGATGAGAGTAACCACAAACACCGGGTAGCCCAGCAACTGCCCATAATGAAAATAATAAAATCGACTCGTGTCTTCAGCGTTGGATCCGGGCTCATGATTCAAAGCCCTAAAGCAGATCCAGAGAGAGCGCGCTCCCCAATGAAGACTTGGACTATAGCACATCCCCCTCAAAGATGCCTTCATGCACTCAGCTGGAAACACCTTTTGAAATAAGGAAAAGAAAAAAAGTTCCTCAGTAATGGGACCCACTGCTTG